GACAGGTGGGCACTTCCTCCAGCCTCCACTGCATTGGATGTATTGGACGAAGTCCCTGCCTAGGATTGTATTGCTTTTGGATATCCAGAATTAAACCTTGCTTTTGCATTCCAGCATGCTCGTCTTTGGTGGTCTCTCTGGGGGTCACGCTCTGGGCACAACAGTACAGAATACAAAAGTAAGGTGTTTCCTAAGTTTACAAGCCCCCAGGGAGGCTCTTCCAAATCTCTCACTCACAGCAGGGAGGTTGGAAGGAGAGCTCCCCTTTCTTTGTGAGGCTAGTTCTTAAAGGCACAGATCATATAATTTATTTTAACCCATCTCCCTTTTTAGTCTTTTGGTCGAATATCCTGACTGTGTTTTCCAAAGTCCCTGTAGCAGATACAGCCACCTGGGGAAAAGGGGTCTAAGTTCTTATCTACAATTAGGAATCCTGGTTTAAGCTTCTCTTTGTCTGTAGGGGATAGAGTGGGGGGTTTTACTGAGGTATCACAGTAGACAGCCACTGTTGGAGTAGCTGGGCCTCAGCTTGTGAGACAGTCCAATAATCTGACTTTATACATACATGTAGAGATTCATTTTACTGGTCATGTTCATGTAGGGAACCTTGAATAATGCAGCTGGTTTTTTCTTTTTAACCTGCCCACTGAGGAAGATGTGCTGGCTAACAGTAGTGCTCATAAAGACACTCTTCATAGCCCCATTATTCTCTAAGTATTCAACTTTACATGAAGACTACTCTTTTTATTACTCATTTGCTAACAGTTTGCTCTAAATTTCAGGAACAAAACTCCTAAATGAATGGGGCCATCATCCAGCTTTCTGATGGGAGAAAGATCTATTTTCTTGTTTGTGATCTGCTTCCTACTTTTCTTTCCTGGTTGTCTGAAGTCCCTGTGTCGACAAGGTAAAAAATACCCCAGTGTGAAACCACAGAACAAACATCTCCTTTTGTGTCCTTAAATCCCTCTCTAGTTGTTAATATTCCAGGCCCCCTTTTACCTGAGTGATAGGGAATCACTCCACCCACATAGCCACATTGTGTCCAGGAGGAAGAAGGGGAAGTGCCTGTGGAGAGCCGGAAGATGGCAGGGTCTGCTATTAGAGCCAGGGGCAAGTACTGTTGAAATGCATATGTCTTGCTGATTTAGAAAAGGACTTTGTCTGTGGGGGAAGGCAAGGTCAGGAACCATTATGCATGTAACCCTATGGGAGGTGCTCTTGTCACTCAGAACTCAGTAGCCAATCAGGCCCTCCAGGCGACCTGCCAGTCATAAGTTGTGCAGGGCACTTCTGGGTTCCGGGCTTCCGGATTTGCTTTGAAGAGGAGCCGGCGGGAGAGATCTTGGGTGCTGTGCTGTGAGAGCTGCTGCTGCGGGGAGCTGAGAGGAGAGCATGGGAAACCGTGACCAGGTGAGCGAGGGTCTGCTGTCTCCAGATGGCGAGGTTGCAGGGACCAGTGTGGTGGGTCCTCCCCAGTTCTGGGTGGGAACCTGTAGCCAGATTCCTTTGTGCTGTGAGGTCCCATGAGGTTCTTACAACTCCCTGGACTCAGGGGCAGGCCTCTGAATAACTTTGCTCTGTGGACTGCATCTTCACAGATCACTGGGAGCAGGGAGCTGTGTGTAGAAAGATCATTGTAGTGAACTTCAACGTGCTTTTGGTGCATTCATGGAAAGCAGGCTGTCAAACTCAGAGACGCATAGTTTTTCCAGTAGCTTCCAGACATTCAGCACTTTGCATTTTACCTTCATGTGTAAGACCATTTCTAGTTAGTTGTTGTTGCAGAAGTTATAAAAGGCATCTCAAATGTTGGGTAGCACTGTACTACTAAGCTGTCATGTAGAAGAGTAGAATTGGTGATATAAAGCATTTACCAATAATTAGGAGGTAGTAATTACTCAAAGTAGAATTTAGCTGAGGGAGGACTGCCTCTGAAACACTCCAAAGATAAGTAAGTATATGATATCCAGGCCTGTTAGAGATTAGGATGCTAGGATACACATTTGTTCACCAGGATTGTACAGACATTTGGTTCCAAATCATTACAGAGGAGCCACCCCTATTTTACTACCAGCCACTGGGCCCATCCCCACATCAAAGAACAGGCCTCTAACAAGCTGCTCAAGGAGGCATTACAGGGTCACAGCCAACCTTAAGGCCTGATGTGCCACAAAATTCCAGTGTTCTTCCTGAGAAAAGCATTGTTCTAGCAAATGGGCAATAGGAAACCAGGTGGCAACTATTTGAATGTAAAGGAGTGTTGTTTATCTGATCAAGCAAGGCTTGCCTTTAGGCCTTCAGGCAGGAAGGGGGAGCATTCTTGAGAGAGCTAGTTATGGCCTGGAGCCTAGGCCTTGAGAGCTTTCCCTAAGATCCTGATATATTCACAGTAAAACAGACCTCCTTCTTTAAAACCAGGGATATGCTTGGAAGAGGTGGTAATGGTGTGGGCCCATCCTTTGTGGAGAGCTTGCTTCAGATCCTGAGAGCCCAACACTTCCCTCTATCTACATGGAGCTATGGTTAGCAGCCCCAAGACAACTGTGGGCTTAGTAACGTTCTTGAGATACCCTGTGTTCCCCTTATGCAGCATTGTCTGATTAGCCTTTTCCCTGGGTTGGTCCCATTGTATTATAGTTTCTGCTGACTTCATAGATGTTTCCCATTGCCTTCCACTTCCCCCTAGATGTAAGATACAATATGAATCTATTCTTAAGAAGCTTACTTGGCATAAGACAGCTCGTGCAGGGCCTCCCCACCACAGCTTTTATCTTTTCTACCTTCTATTTTTCCTAGCTTTCTCTTCCCTGGCACCTCCCCCTCAGGACACTGTCACTGAAGAAGGTTCTGCTGTTTCAACTCACTGGTGTACTCAAGAAATAATGCTGGGAATATCTTTGCTGTGTAACTCTCCCATCTGTCTAAGTAGCTAGACTTTTACAAGTTGCCTGTCCCTGTTTAGATTGTTCAAAGTTAACCTGAGGCATGAACCTAAAAGACACTTGAGGCTGAAAGCATATGTGTACTACAGTATATGTCTAGGCTGTCCCTCTTTGAGCATTAGCCAGAGATGGAGGCATACTATCCTTAAAGAGATTTTTCTTTATTATTCTCCTAGTGTGTTGAGTGATTTGCTCTTGGGAAGAGGTGTTAATTCTACAACAGCTGCATTTCCATCCTGTTAGAAAAGTGTTTCTGAGACAAGCTCTCTTATGTTGACTCAGGTGGCATTGATTCCAGTCTGTTGATTTCCAGGGCAGTGATCTTCTGTCTTCTATACTACACCTTCAAATTTCTTAAATGACTGTACCTGCCCAGAGTTCTAAAATTACCCATTTGAGTCAATTAGTCAATCATCCAATTCAGTCAGAGGAGAAAGATCCACATGTGGAACATTGCTTCTGTCTTCAGACCAGATAGAAGGAATAGGTTCCTGGGTACACAGCAGGGGAAACAGGGTAGGCAATCAGCTGCTGCAGTCACCATTATGAAAAAGGATCTGATTGTGGGAGTGGGAGTGATTTTTGTAATTTCCCAGAATGTTTTAATTCATCTCATATGAATGAAAACAGACCAGATTGTGTAGATGTACAGTTTGGGAAGGTTATCTTGAGCCAATGCATATTGAATTTGCAACTAGGCAACTCTCTTATGCAGATATGCTCCGTTCTGCTTGACACAGTTATGTCAGCTCAGAGGGTTGAGAAACAGGCCATTGACTGTAACTGTGTGTCAGGTAACAGAACTCAGCAGCCAACATGTGCATATGCGCAAGATCAATCTATCTCTTATTAATGACATTCCTTCTACTGGGAGAAGGCCTACTCCTCTTCAAAGTCAAGATAGCTAAGGGTGTTTTTTTTGGGGGGGGGGGTTCAAAACAAGTTTTCTCTGTGTAGCTTTGTGCCTTTCCTAGAACTCACTCTGTAGACCAGGCTGCCCTCAAACTCACAGAGATCCACTTGGCTCTGCCTCCCGAGTGCTGGGATTAAAGGTGTGTGCCGTCACCACCCGGCCTTTTTT